TACGGTATAATATTTTTTTAAGTCTTACTGAGCGACATTCTTGGCGACCATCGACTGTCAAGCTCTGAGAGAGTGAAACGAAGGGAGTAACTCTTGGGAGATAATAATGACTGAGAGAGTGACAACACTTCACTTCTTACTGAGCGACATTCTCGACCGCCATTAGCTGTCAAGCTCTGAGAGAGTGAAACGAAGGGAGTAACTCTTGGGAGATAATAATGACTGAGAGAGTGACAACACTTCACTTCTTACTGAGCGACATTCTCGACCGCCATTAGCTGTCAAGCTCTGAGAGAGTGAAACGAAGGGAGTAACTCTTGGGAGATAATAATGACTGAGAGAGTGACAACACTTCACTTCTTACTGAGCGACATCCTCGGCTATAGGTTAGATATCTATGTTCTTGGCCTCCATCGGCTGTCAAGCTCTGAGAGATTGAAACGAAGGGCAATAACTCTTGGGAGATAATGACTGAGAGAGTGACAACACTTCCTTTCTTACTGAGCGACATTCTCGGCCATAGATTATATATCTATGTTCTTGGCCTCCATCGGCTGTCAAGCTCTGAGAGAGTGAAACGAAGGGTAGTAACTCTTGGGATATCAGAATGACTGAGCGAGTGAAACACTTCACCATATTTTTCTCACACCAGCGTCAGCCTCCTCAGCGGTATACCTTAATTAGCCCTAATTATTCTGACGTTCTGTTGACTTTTTTTTATCGGTGCTGACTAGACTTTGGGGTCGGTTCCAGACCGGTAAAAAAAGTGGGGGCTGAAGAACGTCAGATGAAATCGACGTCTCTAACAGTGACCGAACAAAGGCGGTTGTCGAATCCCTGACCCTATCAGACAATGTACACGTTAGCTGCCCATCAAATATGCATTAGATCGGTCTTACTTTACGGCGTTACAATCGATTCTAGTCATACTGTTCTTCCCAAATATATCCTGCACTCCTTTGTCGGACCTTTCTCGATAGCCAACATAACATGTATTCTGACCAGCATAACATTCATGAGCTACCATGTATTACTTAGTTCGAAACATTTATTTATAGACATATAAATATACACTGTATGTCTGTTATCCCATATCTTATAACGAACATTGATGATACAACTACACGATAAGAAAAAGGCTTCGAGATAACCGAGTATTCCATTTCAGTGAGTTCGAATGTTTTTTTTTTTTTTTTTTGTAAAGTTTGGCAGGGACCGACGAAATGCTTCGAATTATACGGGGTCTTCGAGTTGTTCGAGATAACGAGGTTACGAGATCATCAACATATCCTGTGCTATAACCATATTTTATTTATTGTAATGTGAACATAATCGATGTTACAGTGTTAGTGTGTGTACGATAATAATGACGTTATGTTAGTAAAGAACGGAATCTTCGAAACTTTAAAAAAAAAATCGTAAATATTTCATATTTTTTGTGGAGTTTTAAAATTTTTTATTTAAAAAACAAATTATTGAACACATTTCGCAAATTAAATCGACTATCATTTGATTTTTATCTCTGCAGCGTTTGGTCATGATTGATATAAATCCAATCACATTCCTTGTGACCTTGTTGAAGTTTTGAATCTAATAGAAGTGGAGATTGACACTCAAAACGAAATCCTTCCGACAATATCATTCTGACGGTGTTCGAAAATCCAATAGAATTCGTTTTATTCCTGCAGCTCCCGGTTTCTAAAGTCCTATACAGCTTTTGTGCCGTTGTTATGCCATATCTTTGTTGTAGCGTCTTGACCTTAAAGAGTCTGGGGGCCCCATATTTGGAATCCTGTTAGCCTACTTTTATAATGACTTACACAAACAGAACGTATTGATTCTAAATCAATAACATCGGTATACATAAAATATCCCAGCTAAGTTCGGTTGTACTGAACTAAATTTAAATTATCAACATATTTAACTAAACATCAACTTCCTGTGTTGATGAAACTCCTAACACGCTTAAAATAAATCAGAACAGGTAAATTCATCTTAGTGGAGGCCCGCTGTCTATGTAAACTTAAATGTGTCCGACACTCTCCTCTGTCCTATCTCCTCCTCTGTCCTATTCTCTCATCTCTCCTATACTCTCCTCTGTCCTATACCCTCCTCTGTCATATACCCTCCTCTGTTCTATACCTTCCTCTGTCCTATAGCCTCCTCTTTCCTATACCCCCTCTGTCATATACCCTCCTGTGTCCTATACTCTCCTCTGTCATATACCCTCCTCTGTTCTATACCTTCCTCTGTCCTATAGCCTCCTCTGTCCTATACCCCCTCTGTCATATACTCTCCTGTGTCCTATACTCCCCTCTGTCATATACCCTCCTCTGTTCTATACCCCCTCTGTCCTATACCCTCCTATGTCCTATACCCCCTCTCTCCTATACCTTCCTTTGTCCTGTACTCTCCTCTGTTCTATACCCTCTTCTGTTCTATACCCCCTCTATTTGATACCCCCTCTGTACTATGCTCTCCTCTGTCCTATACCCCCTCTGTCATATACCCTCCTCTCTTCTATACCCTCCTCTGTCATATATCCTCTTCTGTTCTATGCCCTCCTCTGTTTGATACCTTCTGTCCTATGCTCTCCTCTGTCCTATACCCTCCTCTGTCATACAAACTCCTTTGTCCTATACCCCCTCTATTTGATACCCCCTCTGTCCTATGCTCTCCTCTGTCTTATACCCTCCTCTGTCCTATACTCTCCTCTTTCCTCTCTTCTGTCCTATACCCTCTTCTGTCTTATACCCTCCTCTGTCCTATACTCTCCTCTGTCCTCTCTTCTGTCCTATACTCTCTTCTGTCTTATACCCTCTTCTGTCCTATACCCTCCACTGTCCTATACCCTCCTATATCCTATACTCTCCTCTGTCCTATACCCTCCTCTGTCATATAACCTCCTTTGTCCTATAACCTCTCTATTTGATACTCCCTGTCCTCTACCCTCTTCTGTCCTATACCCTCTCTGTCCTCTACTCTCCTCTGTCCTCTACTCTCCTCTGTCCTATACCCTCCACTGTCCTATACCCTCCTATATCCTCTACTCTCCTCTGTCCTATACCCTCCTCTGTCATATAACCTCCTTTGTCCTATAACCTCTCTATTTGATACTCCCTGTCCTCTACCCTCTTCTGTCCTATAACCTCCTCTGTCCTATACTCTCCTCTGTCCTGTACCCTCCTCTGTCCTATATCCTCCTCTGTCCTGTACCCTCCTCTGTCCTATACTCTCCTCTGTCCTATACTCTCCTCTGTCCTCTACTCTCTTCTGTCCTATATCCTCCTCTGTCCTGTGCCCTCCTCTGTCCTATACTCTCCTCTGTCCTCTCTTCTGTCCTATACCCTCTCTGTCCTATACTCTTCTCTGTCCTCTACTCTCTTCTGTCCTATACTCTCCTCTGTCCTCTCTTCTGTCCTATACCCTCTCTGTCCTATACTCTCCTCTGTCCTATACTCTTCTCTGTCCTATACCCTCTTCTGTCCTATACCCTCTCTGTCCTATAATCTCCTCTGTCCTATACCCTCTTCTGTCCTATACCCTCTCTGTCCTATACTCTTCTCTGTCCTCTACTCTCTTCTGTCCTATACCCTCATCTGTCCGCTCTGTAATGACGTTAATTTGTTATTACATGAATCTTTTGGTAGGTTTCGACTACTTTCGGTTGACACCAGAACAATTCTATTTGATATGTATGGGTACTTTGTCTATCAATATTAAAACACCGCTTTATTTTCACGCGTCTTCAAATTTATAAAGTTAAGTATTATTATAAAGAGTTGAATAATTATTTATAGTAGAAGACATCGGAACATGTCAAAAATATTAAACAATTAAACTTTGGAAATATTACATTGTAGAGGTAGTATCGGTTTCAGAATCGTTATTGCTATTTGCATTGGTAGATTTTAAGAGATGCCTTTAATATGTAAATAACAACACCATAAATCAGTGACTCATTACGTTAACTATGTTATATTTCTTTTCCTTTGTCTTCTTTGACAGATCTCCAAACGTTTAGATAGAAATAGTTGTCACACTTTGAACAATGGTATTTTGCAGGTATTCCTCTTTCCCTATAACACAACAACAACGTTTATTTAACAAATACATAGCCATTTTAATACCTATATTTATACATTTTGTTGTAAATCTGTTTTTACGTAATAAATCTTTGTTAAATACACTTTTTGTTTCCGTATTAAGCTGATCAAGGTCTGCTATAATATAGGCCTACCGCCGTAACTTAACACTCCTGTGAAGGTCTGACGATCGTATGTACTGTGAACAAACGGCACGGAACAGGCAGACGTGACCTTTGGCCGGTACGGGTCAATATGGATATCAATTTTACAGAATACATAGCGGGATATATTTCAGTAGTAATTGTTTATCATACCCGTGGGTTTGTGTATTATACACGTGTATGGACTGTATGTATACTATATTCGGTGTTGTTCTTAAACATTTTAAAACATCACCATTGCGATCGGACCGCTGGCAGTTTTATCTAATAGCAGAATCAAGAAATACACGAGGTTGCTGTTGAGGAAGAATTTATAGGAATACTAAAATTGGTTTCTTTAGAGATCACGTGACTGTAGATATACATCAGAATTGTTTTTGTCTATGAATTAGTCGAATACCCGGAACCGTTACTGACAATTTTCATCGAATAAGGTGTGACATTAGAACCTACACACGGATGTGGTAAACCAGGTTTGGATTTTCGTCAAGTAAATTCTATGTGGAATTAACACAGAATGATTTAGTTAAGGTAACAATCAACTTTCAGTGTGTCTTGTCAAATGTTTTAAACTTCATCTGTTTACCTTTCAATAATATTCATAGCTAAATTCGTTACTCAATCATTATATTTTTTCAGATGTGGCTAACCAGTTCCTAATGCTAGAAGTCTGATGTCATCAGTGATGAACAGTTTTAGCTGTTTTCTTAACAATTAAGTGGGAAACGTAAACCTATATTCATTTTTCAAAATGGCACAAGACGTAGACAGCACCGGGAGTCGACTTCTAAACGCAATACTTTTAGGAAAGGCAAGACAAATCAGTTCTCTGCTTGATCAGAACGTTGACGTCGATGTGAGGGATGATGAAGGACGAACGCCTTTGATATACGCCGTCTGCTGTGACATTGATGACGTCAGAACGCACGTTGTACGGCTGTTGTTGCGTAGCAACTGTTACATCAACGCACAAGACAATACTGGGTGTACAGCACTCATGTACGCATGTATGGAGGCTGATAGGGTGGATGTTGTAAGACTGATTGCCAGGAACAAATCATGTAACCCTAATCTTCAGGACTTCGAGGGTTACACAGCAGTAATGCACGCGGTCGCCGCGTCGAATCCTCAAGGTCTGAAGACCTTAATTAGCTCGTCTGCAACAAAAACCGCAGTAGATTTAAACATAAAAAATAAAAATGGAATCACTGCTCTCGAACTGGCTGTCAAACTGCAGTTGTTTGACTGTTGTAAAGTGTTGACGACAGATGGTGCTAGTGGCCGTGGTACTAACAATGTTCGGGACAAAAAGGGGCTGAATTTAATTTTAGGACGCGAAGCATCTGTGATGTCACAAAGAGGTAACTTGTTGCTCACTCCGACACTTCATGTTCCCGGGTTTTCTCCACGTGGTGGATATGCTTCCCGAAATGCAACACCAGTCCCGAACTGGTCGCGACAAAATTCGTCTTACGATAATAACGGCGTTGAACACTGGCAAGGGTTAAGGCATGAAAGAGTCCATTCCTCAAACGATGGTCCTTGGGTTGACAGCCCTAGACGGATTAAACGAACTTTAACACCAATATCACGAGAGGACAAACTTTCTGTTGCGTTTGAACCAGAATCTCCAATGTTTGGAAACAAAATGAGATTACCTAGCATCCCCAGTGGAAAGAGATTGTGTCTAGTTTCAAATCAAAATAGTTTTGACTTTAGTAATAACGGTGAGAGTCTTTGACGTCAAACCAATGTCATTTGTGTTTCCCCTCATTCCCTTAATATTACGTCATCAGAGGTCGTAGCAATATGACGTCACTGGCAACCATGGCTTACAGATATTTCAAATTCAATAGCACTAACGGCACCAAAAACCTTTACACCCTCGTCAACGTCGCGAATCTCTACTCTGGCTTCAGTATTAACAAGTCAACGTCACGAATCTCTACTCTGGCTTCAGTATTAACCAAATCAACGTCGCGAATCTCTACTCTGGCTTCAGTATGAACAAGTCAACGTCACGAATCTCTACTCTGGCTTCAGTATTAACAAATTAACGTCGCGAATCTCTACTCTGGCTTCAGTATTAACAAATCAACGTCGCGAATCTCTACTCTGGCTTCAGTATGAACAAATCAACGTCGCGAATCTCACTCTGGCTTCAGTATGAACAAATCAACGTCACGAATCTCTACTCTGGCTTCAGTATGAACAAATCAACGTCGCGAATCTCTACTCTGACTTCAGTTTATGCATCAGATGAATTTACTACCGAAGAACAACTATATGATATCTCGTCATATGGCCACTATGTAATTGATCTAATTTTGTCGGGATGTTTTCATCGTTATGTCGTTGTTTACAACTAATTTATTTCCTCTGCTTTCACGTTTCCTCTGCGACTTTTGAGTTTGAGGAGTGTTCGTTATGGCTGTTAGCTACATGCTTTGTGTTTTCCTTATCAAACTTGTACATATACCAGGATGTATCTCTGTGTTATCTGTTAAAATCTATCTGAAATCTACACCAAACAGTCCCGCTATATATCTGTCTTCTGAAGTTCATCAATTACCGAATACATTACATTGTAATCTATTTCAATGCGTATTGCCACCATCTTGAAAAACACTTGTTGAAACTTTTCTGGTTCGACTTGTGTCACTGAACTGTGTGAGGATGTAGATGGAAAGTCATCAAAGTATTGCTATTCTGCGATAAAACATCAGCTGACTGTCACGGTGACAATTGTGTATTGAATGCCTACAATGTTGTAGCTCCATGTTTTTTTCTCATCGTATCGATGTTAAGAAACGATTGTATAGTTTTATTGGCAAAGCTAAACAAACACAATACGTGTACTGTGATTGTTGTGTAATGCTAACAATATGTAAACAAAGCTTGTGAAATGTAGAAATGTATTAATATTTAAGAAAGCAAATGTAAATGAAACTTTGTGTTCATACAATTTATTTATATGTTTAACATTGAAATACAGCTAACATTACAAAAATGAGATAATAAACAAGCTTCATTTTAGAAGATCTTCTGGTGTTTTTAGGCTGGAGTATTTGGAATCAATTCAAAACAAGGTAAAGGCTGTTCAAGGCCGTGTGGTGTTTAAATGACTTTACGTAGCGTTTTAACAAAGCGTTTTGGTCTAACGAGCTGGCTTCATAACAGCTACCAAAATACAAAGGTACATATTATACTGGCGGTTTTTAATGATGTACGTTCATGTCATTGTCGCCAAAACAATATGTGTGTACACTTGGAAATAGAGACAAAAGTACGGGTTCAAGTATTGCTTATCAATTTTTTTATTTGTTAAAGTACAAAGATAACGAACATATTTGTATGTTGAATTTAAAGTTATTAAGATTAGATGAATGAACTAATTGGAATGTTAATCGACATTGGAGGAGACATTTCAATTTTCAATATTTGGAGTTCGCTAAAAAACGTGGCCTGGTGGTGGAACTGAGCGTCCTTCTGTACAATATCACATGGATCAGATTAACCTCCTAAAACGTCCTTCTGTACAATATCACATGGATCAGATTAACCTCCTAAAGCGTCCTTCTGTACAATATCACATGGACCAGATTAACCTCCTAAAGCGTCCTTCTGTACAATATCACATGGACCAGATTAACCTCCTAAAGCGTCCTTCTGTACAATATCACATGGATCAGATTAACCTCCTAAAGCGTCCTTCTGTACAATATCATATGGATCAGATTAACCTTCTAAAGCATCCTTCTGTACAATATCACATAGATCAGATTAACCTCCTAAAGCGTCCTTCTGTACAATATCACATGGGACAGATTAACCTCCTAAAGCGTCCTTCTTTACAATATCACATGGATCAGATTAACCTCCTAAAGCGTCCTTCTGTACAATATCATATGGATCAGATTAACCTCCTAAAGCGTCCTTCTGTACAATATCACATAGATCAGATTAACCTCCTAAAGCATCCTTCTTTACAATATCACATGGGACAGATTAATCTCCTTCATCGTCCTCCTGTACAATATCACATGGGACAGATTAATCTCCTAAAGCATCCTTCTGTACAATATCACATGGGACAGATTAACCTCCTACATCGTCCTTCTGTACAATATCACATAGATCAGATTAACCTCCTAAAGCGTCCTTCTGTACAATATCACATGGGACAGATTAACCTCCTACATCGTCCTTCTGTACAATATCACATAGATCAGATTAATCTCCTAAAGCATCCTTCTGTACAATATCACATGGGACAGATTAACCTCCTACATCGTCCTTCTTTACAATATCACATGGGACAGATTAACCTCCTAAAGCGTCCTTCTTTACAATATCACATGGGACAGATTAATCTCCTTCATCGTCCTTCTGTACAATATCACATGGGACAGATTAATCTCCTAAAGCATCCTTCTGTACAATATCACATGGGACAGATTAACCTCCTACATCGTCCTTCTGTACAATATCACATGGGACAGATTAACCTCCTACATCGTCCTTCTGTACAATATCACATGGGACAGATTAACCTCCTACATCGTCCTTCTGTACAATATCACATAGACAGATTAACCTCCTACATCATCCTTCTTTACAATATCACATGGGACAGATTAACCTCCTACATCGTCCTTCTGTACAATATCACATGGGACAGATTAACCTCCTACATCGTCCTTCTGTACAATATCACATGGGACAGATTAACCTCCTACATCGTCCTTCTGTACAATATCACATAGATCAGATTAACCTCCTAAAGCATCCTTCTTTACAATATCACATGGGACAGATTAACCTCCTACATCGTCCTTCTGTACAATATCACATGGGACAGATTAACCTCCTAAAGCATCCTTCTGTACAATATCACATGGGACAGATTAATCTCCTAATATATCACATGGGACAGATTAACCTCCTACATCGTCCTTCTGTACAATATCACATGGGACAGATTAATCTCCTTCATCGTCCTTCTGTACAATATCACATGGGACAGATTAATCTCCTTCATCGTCCTTCTTTACAATATCACATGGGACAGATTAATCTCCTTCATCGTCCTTCTTTACAATATCACATGGGACAGATTAATCTCCTTCATCGTCCTTCTGTACAATATCACATGGGACAGATTAATCTCCTTCATCGTCCTTCTTTACAATATCACATGGGACAGATTAATCTCCTTCATCGTCCTTCTGTACAATATCACATGGGACAGATTAATCTCCTAAAGCATCCTTCTGTACAATATCACATGGGACAGATTAACCTCCTAAAGCGTCCTTCTGTACAATATCACATGGAGCAGATTGACCTCCTAAAGCGTCCTTCTGTACAATATCACATAGATCAGATTAACCTCCTAAAGCGTCCTTCTGTACAATATCACATGGGACAGATTAACCTCCTAAAGCGTCCTTCTGTACAATATCACATGGACCAGATTGACCTCCTAAAGATTCCTTCTGTACAATATCACATGGACCAGATTAACCTCCTAAAGCGTCCTTCTGTACAATATCACATGGAGCAGATTGACCTCCTAAAGCGTCCTTCTGTACAATATCACATAGATCAGATTAACCTCCTAAAGCGTCCTTCTGTACAATATCACATGGGACAGATTAACCTCCTAAAGCGTCCTTCTGGACAATACCACATGGACCAGATTGACCTCCTAAAGCTAAGTGTACATGGATGATCAACGATTTCAGTATTACTTTTACAGTATTGATATTTTTCTTGATCTGTTTACACTTGTTGAATTATCTTTTCATCTTTTCTTTAATTCCCGGGTAGGAGAATTACTATCACACCGGGTTTTAGATGGGCACGGATAGAAAATAACGTGATCCTTATGAAACCTGATTAAACCATAAAATTTCTTTTTAAACCATAGCTGGTGGCATCATCACAGAACAATATACGGAAGATCCGTCGCGTGTCATTTAATCTGTCAATGTGTCTTACCAAAGGATAAACCCGCAACAGATTTCTCATGTCCCGGATCTCTCACCGTATCCGATCATCACTAGGATCTCAATGTCACCGTGTGATCTGATCATCTCTGCGATCTCAATGTCATCATGTGATCCGATCATCTCTGGGATCTCAATGTCACCGTGTAATCTGATCATCTCTGAGATCTCAATGTCACCTTATGATCTGATCATCACTGGGATCTCAATGTCACCGTGTGATCCGATCATCTCTGCAATCTCAATGTCATCATGTGATCCGATCATCTCTGGGATCTCAATGTCACCATGTGATCCGATCATCTCTGCAATCTCAATGTCACCGTATGATCTGATCATCTCTGCGATCTCAATGTCACCATGTGATCCGATCATCTCTGCAATCTCAATGTCACCGTGTGATCTGACCATCTCTGCAATCTCAATGTCACCGTATGATCTGATCATCTCTGAGATCTCAATGTCACCGTGTGATCTGATCATCTCTGCGATCTCAATGTCACCGTGTGATCTGATCATCTCTGCAATCTCAATGTCATCATGTGATCCGATCATCTCTGGGATCTCAATGTCATCATGTGATCCGATCATCTCTGCAATCTCAATGTCACCGTATGATCTGACCATCAATGGGATCTCAATGTCACCGTGTGATCCGATCATCTCTGCAATCTCAATGTCACCGTATGATCTGATCATCTCTGAGATCTCAATGTCACCGTGTGATCTG